GTTGTGTTTTTAAGAATTTCACAAGAATCTTAGTTAATGGCAGCAAAATAAAGGTGGAAGCTCATCAAGTCACTGTTATATATCATGTAACGTTTTAATAAAAATGTTCTCAAAATTTTATTACAAAAGTGCCCAAAAAAGAAAGATTTAGCCTACCTCTAAAGTCGATGTCTAATCCTAACCACATTGGTGTAGAATACTGCACCAGCGCCGATGCCGGGAATGGAAGGATGGCAAGCGGTAGCCTTTCGAATATCAGGTGACAAGGCTTACTTCTCAGGTTGTGGATTCTATGGTGCACAAGACACATTATGCGATGATGCTGGCCGCCATTACTTCAAGGAGTGTTATATTGAGGGTTCTATAGACTTCATTTTCGGCAATGGACGGTCTATTTACAAAGTAAGTAATTACATAAAAAAATTATCTTTTCTACTCTACTCGTCTGGCCACAGTCTTAAGGTAAGTTTTACAATTAGGATAATAGAAAAAATTGAAATCGATTTGACATTTATTTTGCACGTAGTAGTAATTGGCAAAGTAAATATTTGACTTGTTGCAGATATACACAAATAATTACACCTATGATCAATGTAGAATTCAGAGTAAAAGAATAATTGCAATGTTTGTTAGAGTTACGTTTGTTACTTTTTTATTAAAAAGTTGCATATTATCTTTATATTACAAAGGAACACAATAGTAACTTTTTCTACTACTAATGTTCACTGTGATACTGTTCACTTGAACCGTAAATTTCAATTTGGTTTGAGGTGCAGTATTTTCGAAAATTACTAAATTTTATTTCTTCGTTATTTTCCCCCTCAGGATTGTGAAATACACTCAATAGCAACTAGATTTGGGTCGATAGCAGCCCAAGACAGAAAGTCAGTGGATGAGAAGACTGGATTTGCATTTATTCACTGCAGGGTTACGGGTACTGGACAACTTTATGTGGGCCGGGCCATGGGTCAGTACTCAAGGATTGTTTACTCCTATACCTATTTTGAAGATATTGTAGCCCATGGTGGATGGGATGACTGGGACCACGTCAGCAACAAGAACAAGTATATCAATCTCCTTCCCCATCATCATGTTCAAACTTTAATTTTAGATCATACATTTCTTGAAATCCACTAATTTTATCAACTCATGCATATCATCAACTTTTATAAAAAAAATTTCCAGATAACCCCCATTTACCAAGATAAATCTAATTCTCATTTGGCCATGAACCACTTACTTTCGTCAATCAACTTATTTTATTATTATTATTATTTTTTAATATAAAATTAGCCTATGTTTATCACCCTTTTTAAAGAGTTTTTGGTGGGGAAAATGAGACTTTGAATAGTGATTAAAGTAGGAAAAATTTTGGATTTACGTGCAAAATATTTTGTAGTGTGAACTTGTAATTGAAAATGAGTTTAAACTCATGTTTGACAATCATACTTTCTAAACTTTTTTTCTACACATACTCATTATCAACAACACATTCACACAATAAAATATTATGTACATAAGCACAAAACTTTTCTCTACTTTTTTAAACACATATTATCCTAAAAATCATTATTCAAAAACTCTTATTTTCCTAAAAGTATGGTTGTCAAACAGGGGCTAAGAGAAAAAAAGGGAGAAACAAATAAGAGCTTAGTTTCAACCTTTTTTTTAGATACCATACTTAATTCCATCTTTAAAAACTTGACAAAAGAATGAATCTTTTCCTTACCATAGAGTTATATTAGCACCCCTTTCTTGGAACATTTTGAAGATTTTTGAACTTCCACTCGATTGATAGTAATCTTACGTAAAATAATTTTATATATTACGTTGGAATATAACTTGGACACGATAATGATTATTTGGTTTTAGGATTTTATTTCCCAAGATTTGACTTCAGTAGAAATGATCTTCTACTCATGGTGGGTAAGAGTCATCTTGTTCACCGCTGACAAGAATCTACAATTTTTTATAATTTAACATTAAATTGTCAAAAATTGTAGACTAGACTGCTGAGATAGCAATAGGGTAGGAGACCATATTTATTGACTTTAGTTTAGTGGTTACAAAACGTACTTTGACCATTTTTATTGACTTCAGTTCAGTAGTTACAAAACATACTTTTCTTGTTCAAAATTGTAAAACGTGTTCTAATTTTACAATAACCATTTATCCCATGTGGCAGACTATATCAACCCAATTTCTGTGATCATTCCACGTAAGATTTTAGTTCGTCATGAATGAGTTCCGATCATTTTTAATGACAGTTGAGCAACATTAGAAGTCCAACATTAATTTGGTAAGGAAACTAGCCCCAGACAACATAGATAAAGCCAAACACAAAAATTGGGTTGTTAGAGGTACAGAAGTGGATCGGACCACTCAATCCTGAAATTCTACTCTTTAGACCGTATGAAATGAATGACCAATTTATACTTGTACAATGATTGACAGGACGGTGTTTTTCGGGGTGTATAAATGCTCGGGTCCAGGAGCAGCAGCAGTCCGTGGGGTATCATGGGCAAGAGAGCTTGATTATCCAACTGCTCATCCATTTCTAGCCAAGAGTTTTGTGAATGGGAGACATTGGATTGCACCCTCAGATGCTTAGACCCAACAACCTCGCATTTCACTACAAAAATTTTTCATTACTATATTCTTTCAGATATTCATTTTTTAATTATTTTAGGTTTTAGCTTCATATATAATTCATTGTTCAATTTGTTTATTCAATAAAGAAGTGTTTATATAGAACTTTTGTGTATTCATAAATTACAAAATCGATTCGTTTTTTTTTTCTAATAAAAAAATTACAGGACACGTTACATATGGCAATGATATATGATAGGTACAATTATTAGATTTTTTTTTATTTTTTTTTTTTGGGATTTATTCCTGTAAGAAATAATAAAATATATGAAAATAAAATAGAAAAGAGTTAGGTATCATTCCATTAGAAAAACTCAAGACAGGACATTGATGAAGGGTGAAGAAACTGCATCAAATTGTATTCCGGTAGGGTAGAGTAGGGTAGATTCTCAAGGAAGGCATACATAAGTCTGTGTTTATGATGTCTGATTGAACAATGATTGGATAGATTCCTCAAATGTATGGGATCGTTGACAAGTAATAACGTGATTAGTTAAAAGTATCATTTCACGGAGAATAAATCTTAAATCGAATTGTATTAGTCATTTATCAAATGCGAGTGTAAAGTAACAAAAAGGATATATTAATTATTTCTAGATTAATCTACTAATTAATTTATGATTTTAAACTAAAAATGAGATGTATGTGTTGAAATTTGAATCCACCTATTAGTATCATATTTTCAATTCTCGACCTATGTAATGTAGTATGATTTTTGTATTCATGACAATCGATAATCCAATTTTATTTAATTCGCTCTCCCGAAATAAGTTAAACATCTTTTAAGTACGATCCGATCATATTTCTAGTCTGAATTCATATCCAAAGTAACGCATTCAATTACACGAATACCTATGTGATTGCACGTGCCACATATTTTATTTCTAATATCTATTACCCGTGGGTTGAAATTACAAAGTGCTAGACTTATTGGTAACCTCATAATACTACAACAAATAACTAATTACTTAATTGATGAACAATCAATTAAATCATTCAAAAAAAAGAAACATACAAGATCAATCGAGAACACAATAACTAAATTACTTGGTCTTTGAATTAATAATAATAATAATAATAATAATAATAATAATAATAATGTTCATCTTCATCACAACACAAAAGAAATCTAGTCTACCATGTTTCTTAAGATAAAATAACAAAAGAATTGTAAAATAATCACCCGAAATTTATTAATAGAAGGACGGAAGGAGATATGAAACTATTTCTTGTTCTTGATCTTCAATCCCAAAATTTGATTATTCGAATTCTTGATGTTTCTTGATTTAGACTCCTTGCTAAATTTGTTCACCCCTCAAACCTATGATGAATTTGCTCATCATTCTTAAAAGATTTTATGATATGAGAGAGAGAGAGAGAGAGATCCTAATGTTTATCCCTTGTTATGCATTTCAGAGAGAGAGAGAGAGAGATCTCCCCTAATGTTTAGCCCTTGAACCGGATCTGGTCGGTTCTAGGGAAAAAATCGGAACTGGCATCACATTCGGTCCGATCATAATACATTAATCAGAGAATTAAAAATTAGTAAAAAAATCATTGAACGGCCAGTTCAAATGTGAACCGAAACACCAAAAACAATTTTTCCCAATTAAATTGATTTAATTTTTTACAAAATATTTCAAATATCTTGATGAGCGCACCTATTGCATTGGCAGGCCCCAAAAATTTATTTAGTTGATGCTTCTTTTATAAGAGATTCCTCTTTCACTAATTTATTCTTTCTCCGATGTGGGATAAAGGAATAGCCAATTGTCAATTCAAAATATTTAATAGTTTACTTTATTATTTTCATTAATAAATAATAGTCTCCAACAAGACCAAAATTTCAATTTGAAGAAAGTAAAATATTTTGGACATATTAATTGTTAGTTTTTGAAGTCATAAAATAAAATAGGATAATAAATATAATTAACAAATATGAATTTATATTTATATTGAATTAGTAAACTAAAATTAACGTATTGTTATTATAATATTTTTAGTTTATGTTTCTATTTATTTATTTATTTTGGCATATGGTTTGATACCGATTTGATTTCGGTTCAACCCTTTGGCCCTTGAGCCTCTTCATTTTCGGATCGATGCTCAGTTGCTTTTTAAAATATTAAAATTTATATGTGGTGAAGTTAGGTCAAGAAATACATCCAAATTGTATTCCAAAAGAGTTGTATCACATTAAAAAGTTGGCCTCATTTGTTAAAATTTGTCCCGTACTCATGCATGGTAAATCTAACTGCCCATGCATTGGCAAGTGAAATTGATCTTGGGAGGCCAATAAAAAGCTTCTTGCGCATGTGCGCACAAGCAATTTTTTTTTTTTATTTCCTTTCTCTTCTATTCTCGTCCAATTGACTTCATATGATCTTCAATTATTTTATGGTGAGATTAACTATTGAATATTCACATTTTAGTTCCCAAACTTTAGAAATCATTATTTTTTTCACTGATTTTCGTTCCTTTCTTCCAATTATTGAGTAGTACCTAACAAACAATAAATACATGATTTAGACTATAATTTTCCAAATGTAATACAAAATATCCTAATTTAATGGCCTAAATAAGCATATAAATTACACAAATCAGACACCCCTAAACTTAAATATTTGTTTTTCTCTAAACAAAACTATAACATTTATCCAAAAGTGAGCGTTACCTAATTGGTGGCCAATTAATCAATTAATGCAACAACTTTGGTCAGATAACCTACCTTTTTCACATGATTGAATCGTTGTATTAAATTTATGAACAATTTAAAAATAACAATACAGAAATCAATCTCTACTTATCCAATGTAAAATTGGGGTGTGTGTGTGTATGAAAAATTAATTAAAATATCATAAATTCACAGTTGCCTCAATTTTCGACCCTCAATGATCAAATATATCATTTCTGCACTCGTGAAATATACACCACCAAACTTATTCTTTTAAGTCTCTTTCCCCAATGTATGATCTGAGGTTGTGATTTTATGCTAATACTTACCCTCTATTGAATCAAGAAAATAGGCTTGTGAGCTTACGCCCTTATGAGCGAAGGTTAAGTATACAAAATATGGAAGAGTTCGTAGGTATAGGCGGCGAACCATCCACCTTGATTATCTAAGTTGATAGAGAGTTATTAAAGCAAAAATGAGTAAATATAAAAAGTATTACTTCTAAAGATGATGAATAAAATGTGAATGCAATAACAAAATCAATTATCAATTCGCTTCTAAACAATGGTCATTTGTCATTTTTCTAGAATGACCCAAAGCCTCCAAGGAAATCTACAAATACTTCTGCCTAAGAGAATGATGGTATGCAAATTCAAATATCTGCCTCCCAAATAGCCATTTCCACTCTTGCTTCTCTTTGAGTATCAAAACTAGAGAGTTTAGTATGAGAAAATCTTGGCTAGATGAGAGAAATTTATTGGTTGTAATTTTACAATCAACAAACCGGCGTTGTTTGGAGGAAGCTTGAGCAAGGAAAAACCACAAATTCGCCATTTAAAGTTGAGAAATCCTTGAAATCTACAAAAATTGAGTCGAGCGAGAGCAAATTCGAAGGAGATAAAGTTGCTGGAGGTTGAGAATAACAAGATTAACTATGATCTAGTTAATACAAGTGTAAGTTCAAGGCAATGACAAGAGGATACTACATTGAGGTTGCGAGAGAATTTGTTTTCTGTTCAAGCCGGCATCTATGAAAGAAGAAGTTGACCATACAATAAATGACTGAAGAACTCAAAACACTAATGGCGAAAACACGTTGCTTTAAGCACAAAAATAAGGAATCTAAAAGGTAAACTAACCAAACGAGGTACAGTATCCGAAACCTTCAGGAAGATTTGGTAATCCACAATCTCTAACCTATGTAATTCAATCCATGGAACCTAAAAGTGAAAATCTAGATCCTTAGTGAAATTTCTAAAGCAAGGCAAATATGATATGAAAGACTAATTGTATTGATTGAGCTTATTGAGTATATAACACATTGTATTGCTACAAGAATAATCTAGAAACTATAGTTGTTAGGTGGTTCCTTAATTTATGGATCATGTTGGAGTCTTTGTACAACAGATTTGGTGGTCCAAAACAAGAGGCAATGATCGGTTATTACAGCTAGCAATGGAGGCTGCCGAATCACAAGATGATCTGGAATAAGTTCGACTGATGTGGAATTGATTTGTAGACATATTAAATATTAACACCCCCCTTCAAACTGGATGATACGCAAGTGACTCCAAGCTTGTCTTTCAAGAAGAGAAATCTCGAGTGATTCAGCCCTTTAGTTAGTAGATCTACAATTTGATCTGAAGTAGGTACATATTTCACTTCAAGTTTCTTTGTTAACACCTTATCTCTGATGAAGTGAATGTCTAACTCTATGTGCTTCATTCTAGCATGATAAACTGGGTTGCCAGCAAAGCTCCTGCACTCATGTTGTCACACCACAGTGTTGGAATTCCAGCTGAAGGAAGTTCAAGTTCCTGAAATAATGATTGAATCCACGAAACTTCTGAAGCAACTGAGGCAAGTGCTCTGTATTCGGATTCTGTGCTTGAGTGAACTACTACATGCTGCTTCTTTGAAGACCAAGATATCAAGTTATTACCTAAATAGATGCAATAACCCGTTGTTGATCTTCTATCGTCTAGATCCACAAACCATGTTCATAGTTCTTTTGAGGTACCTTAATACTCTCTTTGGAGCCTGCCAATGTGTAGGAGTTGGAGACTACAGAAATTGGCTCAGCTTGTTCACAGTGAATGTAATGTTTGGTCTGGTATGTGAAAGGTATTGCAGTGCTCCAATTACACTTCTGTAGTTAGACGGTTAAGCCAATACTTTACCATCAAATTTTGATATGGTTTTTTGCCAGCAAGAATAGGAGTAAGATATGGCTTCAAGTTTTCCAGCTCAAATCTTTTAAGTAAATCAGAGATATATCTTGTTTGAGT